AAAAAGGATAAACCTTCACATCAAAATAAAAAAGAGGACCAGCATAAATATTCAGCAAATACTAAAACAATAGCAATGAAGGAAGTGATAACATGATTCACAAACAAAACGAGCTCAGCATAGAAAATTATATGGAACAAAGAAATTGGCACAATGAAAAAGCACATAACAAAAATGACAGCAACATATTCATATTTGTTGATAATTACGTATCTGGCAAGGGACTTATCTCTAAGATTGATGGAAAACTGCAACATCTCAACACCAAAGGAATTAACAATGCAACTGAAAAATGGGCAGAAGACATGAATAGACACTTCACCAAGGAGGATATTCAGGTGGTCAGCTAATACATGAAGAGATGCTCACAATCATTGGCTATAAGAGAGATGTAAATCAAAGCAACAATGAGATATACCATCTCACCTCAGCACTAATGGCAAGGTTCAATGAGACAGAAAATAACAAATGTTGGTGGGGATGTGGAGAGATTGGGACTCTCATACACTGCTTGTGTGATTGTGAAGTGACACAACCACTGTGGAAAACAATATGGTGATTCCTTAGAAAGTTGGAATTGGAGATAACCATTTGACCCACCAATTCCATTACTAGGTATATATCCTAGAGAAGTGAGAGCCAGGATAGGAACAGATACATGCATGCTCATGTTTATCACAGCACTATTTACAATAGCAAAAAGATGGTAACAACCTACATGCCCATCAGCGGAAAAGTAGATGACCAAACTATGGTACATACACATACTGGAATGCTATGCAGCACTAAGAATAATGTAGAAGTCTGCAAAACACAGCATAATATGGATGAACTTGGAGGACATTATGCTGAGTGAAGTAAGTCAATCACAGGACGACAAATATATAGTATTAGTTCGTTGTGAAGGGTCAAAGAAAGGTTTATATATGGAGGGAAACTTTCTCTGTTGGTTGCCAGGGGTGGGAGGGGAGGGAACACTGAAAAAAAAAAAAAAACATTGACCCATGTCACTTTAGTTTTGTGTATTTCACTGTACATAAATTATATTTCAAGAAAATACATTTTAAAAAAAAGATAACTATCCACCCAAAAATTTAAAAACACTTTTATAACAGCTATTCAAAAAAGATCAATGAGAACTACAAAACATTTAGAGCTAAAAATAATTTAAAATATTATGTATCAAAATTTGTGGGATGTGCTATCACAGCTTATATACCTACTTTAGAAAAGAAGGAAGGCTAAAAATTAATGAGCAAAATATCTAATTTATAGTTAGAAAAGAAATGACAGGATAAATACAAAACAGAACGAAGAATATAAAGAAGGTAAAAAACATGAAACACACATACAATATAAAACTTCAAAGTAAAAAAATATTTACTTATAAAAATAAGGAGACAAAATTCTAACAAGATTAATCAAGAAAATGAGACATAAATATCATTAGGAATAAAAAAATATGTAACTATATATGTTATAAGTCTAGATCTGTACTTCACATCTAAACAGATTATGAACCTTATGCTAATTGATTAAAAATTCAAAGTGGATAGATTTCTAGAAAACAATAGAACTTACCAAAATTAAGCCACGAAATAGGAAAACTAAACAGTTCCATAATGTTTAAAGAAATTAAATCAGCACTTTAAATCATCCCATAAAGAAAACACCAGTCCTAATAGTTTTTCAGATCAGTTCCATCAAACATTCCAGGAACAAAATATCTTCCACACATTATTCTAGTATTACAGGAAAAAGATGATTAAATAATAGTAAGCATACATACCTGTTTCATCAAGTGTTGGTACTTTTTCTACTCTGATAGTTTGTGATCCCTGTCCTCCTTTCTGAACATTTGTGGAGTACAACTTCACTGGACTCAGTGCACAAATGTATGGATGACTACAGGGAACCATACTTGAAAAGCTTCCAAGTGTCACTAAATTCTGCCATTCTGAAAGAAAAAAAATATATATTTTAATTTCAAACAAGCTCCCAACAAGTACTTTCATGCACAATAAAATCTAACTACTATGTTCAGAGATTAATTTTACAAAATAACAGTAAAATTTTCATACTTCTTGTATGGTCAGTAACTCCAACCCCCCAAAATGGCTCTCAGACTCCATTTTGTTTAGCCATGCTTCTAAGAACTACAAACCATTTCCCCTATCTCCCCTTGTCACATATTGCCCTGCTCCCTCGTCAGGTATTAACCACCTTCCTGTAATGTATTATTAACCTGTCCTTAGAATAGTTTTAAGCCATAAAGATGGTGGTCGCAGGGCACTGCCCAGGGGCCCCCTCCCAATCAGGACCTGGTGCCACCAAGTCTGCAGCCAGTCCCAAAGCCTCCAACCCCAATTCCTCAAACTCAGGTATAAGTAGCCCTGCAAAGTGAGAGGGGGTCCGCGGTCATCTTGGATCCATTTCAGCCTGCTGCCGCTGGACACTGAATTGCTAACAACATTTGTAAGCTGACTTTCTTTATCTTTTTAATGCTTTCTCTATCTTTTTAATGCTCTCTTTCCCTATTCTTTTTGTTTCTCTTCTGAATAAACGTTCATGTCTCTGACTATGTCCAGGGAAGTTTTCTGGACTTTTGTTACCTACTCAGGAAGAAGTTTTAACATCCTTGGAAAATCCATATAGCACTTCTAAATATCCAAATGCACAATACCAAACCAAACTATCTCCACTGGAGATGCTTTATTTACCGGCACAGATTAAAGCACTTGACTGGTAACTGAAAGGTTGGCAGTTCGAACCCACCAGTCACTCTGTAGGAAAAAGAAGTGGCTGTCTGCTTCCATAATGATTTACAGCCTTGGAAATCCTATAGAGCAGTTTAGTCTACCCCAGAGGCTGACTGTGAATCTGAATCAAGTCAATAGCAGGGACAATATTTTGTGAAGAAAAAAATGAAGACAACATTCCTATTTTCCTAATTTGTACATTTATATAGAAGCTTTTATAAATATATAAAACCAAATAAAGCATTCATATTACCCAGCTATTCCAAAAGGTGCCTGACACATAATAAGATACTTTTCATTTTGCATGCTGGTTGCCTATTAAAAAAAAAAAAAAAGTTGCAATAATGTATTTTTGAGGATAGAGGACTCCTGGCAGAGTGGATAAAGAAGGGCTTCTAATAAAAATTATCCAGTGCCCTCCTTCTACTATTTGAAGATTCATTCCTTTCATTTCACGATCAATAAGTGAATTATATTAATCAGTCATTCATACTTAGTGTCACTGATATTTTTTTAATCATATAATTAGATCAACGTTTGGTAAGATGCCTCAGTATATGAGAATTTTAATTGACGGAGAATAGAAGACTAATTATGAAGCACTTCAGCTGTTGCATCTGGGCTGACGATAGATTTTGGAGGGCTGAAACAAAAAAAAAATACATTCCACAACTGCATGGAGGTTGCAGAAAAACAAATCTGTCTCTACTCTCATGTGATCCTTCTTCTATTTCTTATTATGGGTACTTATATTTTGGTTACCTAGTGCTGCTCTCACAGAAAAATGGGATGGCTTTAACAAACAGGAGTTTATTCTCTTACAGTTTTGGAGGCTAGAGGCCCGAATTCAAAATGCCAAGCCACAGGGGGTGGGTGAAAGTCCCTCAACCTTGGGCTTCAGCTCTGCCTTCTCACTCCCAGCCCACTGGAGCTAAAGGTGTCTCTTCACTCAGGCAGCTGCTGGCTGCTGAGGGTAACAAGCACAAGGGTGACAAATAAAATGGCACAGTCCCAATATTACCACACAACTCAGCAGGCTACTAGTTCAAGTCTAGAAACAGTCCCAAGATTGGCAGGAAACATGGCAGGCTGCTGAATGAAGACTCGGCTATACACAGGGTCCAAGCCTACCAAAAAGCTGCAGACCTTTCTCAATACTTCTCCTTATATACTGGAAGCAGACCACATCCCTAAAGCAGCTACTCAACTGCTCTAGTGGATTCCACCACAGAGGTGATTACCAATCTCACTAGGGGGAATAATTACATCCGGCTGCCCAGCCACTTAAAACGAGGCCCAGCCAAGTTGACACATAACTTCAACCATCACAACTTAGGATTCTCTTTGTTGAAAAAACTTAAAAACGCTGACTAGATGTAATTAATATATTTTCTAAAGTTTTAAGTGAAGCAATGAAATATGTTATCATTAAAGACAGTCAAGGTGTTCCAAAAGTACAGGGTTAAGTATTTAGGAGTTGGAACTTGATGCTTAATGATCATGCAAAATTGTTAATTCGTGTGTGTATGTGTGCAGATATATCCTTCTGAAATAAAGGAAAATAAATCTTTTCTTAGTGACTTAGCAAATTCATCAGGAATACAAATTACTGATAATGCTAAAGATAATTTGAAGATCAAGAGGGACATAATGCAGTATAAGTACCCAGCCAAGTCTGAGGCTTGGAACTTTTCAAAAACTTTGAAGTCAACTTATTCTTTTATTTGCCAAATTAACTGTTGAAAGCCCAGTTGGCTTCTCAGTCAATTGCCTCTCTTTCTTAAAGTCTGAGTGAGGTAAATCTAACAGTATATCTTCCTGCACATTAACACATGTAGTCTACCAGCAGAATCAACTGGTGATCAAAGGACTGAAAGAGTTTCTCACCCTCTGGAAAAACATCATCTTCACATCATCACTGGTGGTCTGACTTGGCAGTCCTTTTCTAAGTATCTTTTGTGATTATTACCTCACAGAGATAACATGTCACCAACATTTTATTCCACCCAAGGATGACTTTTTTTAACTTTTTATTGTGGTTTGGGTGGAAGTTTACAGAGCAAATCAGTTTTCAATTCAACAATTCACATACATTGTTTCATGTCACTGATTGCAATCTCCTCAATGTAACATCACTCCTCCCACTTCCTCCCTGTATTTCATGTTTCCATTGTTCCTTCTCTCCTAACCCTTCCTGCCTTCTGAACACTGTCCTTGGGCAAATGTCCTTTTGATGTTGAATGGTTGATTGTTCTAACTGTATACCTTCCTGGAATTATTGTTTACCTTGCAGACCAGTCTATTGTTTGAATGAAAAGTGAGCTATGGGATAGAGATTAGTCCCAGGTCCCATGAGTGACCAAGGGCCATAGTCTCAGGGGTTCCATCAGTCTCTATCCAACCACTATGCCTGGTCATTTTTATGATTCTGCATTTTGCTCCGCATTTTTCTCCCACTCTATCCAGGACCTAATGTGATCCCCTTCAGAGCAGTCGGTAGTAACACCCGGATACCATCTAGTTCTTCTGGTTTCAGGGTCACAGAGGCTGAGGTTCATGTGGCCCATTAATTCTCTGTACTGCTTGTTTCCATGTGCTTTTGATCTTCTTCACTCTTCTTTGCTCCAGATGGGAAGAGACCAACAGTTGCACCTCAGATGGGCACTCACAAGTTTTTAGGCTTTTAAGATTTCAGTTGCTACTTACCAAAGCAGAAGTATGTTGTAACAATTGACCTTAATGTGCCCTAGGCTATGGTCCTGAGTCCCAAGACCCAGCAACTTACTCTCTCAAGGTTTTTGGTTACGGCTAAGTTTGCATAACTTTGCTTCTGTATGCTCTACTATATTTATGGATATATTTGCAGCATATGTAAACATATATGTTAAAATATTCTGTCAAACCTATATATTCGTGAGTATAGGCCCAATGATAAAATACTTTCCAAAAGGTTATGCTAAGTTGTTTTAAAGAGGGATTACTTCACAATATAGTCTTTCTCACAAGATGACAATGTTTCTATGAATTGCTCTCTAATTTTTTTCAAAGTTCTTAAATTTTAAAACTTTATTATGAAAAATTTCAAACACATGAAAAAGTAGAAAAATACTTCCATGTACCCAAGACCAAGCTTCAATAATTATCAACTAATTATCAAACTCATTGTACATTTCTACTTGCAACAATATCCCCCATCTTAATTTGAAGCAAATCTCAGATTTAAAATAATTTCACTCATAAATATTTCAGTATGAATTTCTATGAGACAAAAGTTAACTTAAGCGACTCTAAGTTAACATTGCATTGGGCAAGCCTGCTGCAAAAATTCTTTTTAAAGTGCTAAAAAGCAAAAATGTCACTTGAGGACTAGGGTGCACCTGACCCAAATCATGGCATTTTCAATCATTTCTTATGTATGGGAAAGCTGGGCAATGAATAAAGAACATCAAAGAAGAGCTGATGTCTTTGAATTATGGTGTTGGTGAAAAATACCGAATATACCACAGACTGCCATTAAGAATGAACAAATCTCTCTTGGAAGAAATACAGCAAGAATGCCCCTCTGAAGAAAGGATGGCAAGACTCTTCATCTCATGTGCATGTACTTTGGGCATGTTATCAGGAGGGAGCAGTTGCTGGAGAAGGGCATCATGCTTGGTAAAGTAGAGGATCAGTGAAAAAGAGGAAGACCCTCAACAAGATAAACTGACATAGGTGCTACAACGAACTCAAACACAGCAATGATTGTGATGATGGTATAGGACCAAGCAGTGTTCTGATCTATCATACATGTGGTTGCTATGAGTCAGAAATGACTAGACGCCATCTAACAATAACAACATAAAACGCAAAGATTATACTTCGTGGCATTATTTATCACAGCAAAGCCAGAAAACAACTTCAATGTTCCTTAATAAAATAATGACTAATAAGTAACGACAGGTTCCTATATTTTCAATGCATTCATTAAAAACTGCAAATAACCTGGAAAAAAATTTGAATGTTGAGTGAAAAAGCAAAAAAAAAAAAACCTGGAAAAAAATTTGAATGTTGAGTGAAAAAGCAAAAAAAAAAAACCTCTCTACATCGAGTCAATTTCAACTCATAGTAAGGCTTCCTTGGGTTTCCAAGGCAGCATCTCTATGGAAGTAGATTGCCCAGTCTTCCTTCCAAGGAGTGGCTGGTGGGTTTGAACCTC